CGGCCCGGCCCTTGTGGGCTGCTCTTGGCTCAGTCCCTCCCGCCGTGAGCCGCTTGGGGCGGTGGCGGCGGCCTGCAGCTGCGCCGGTCGCGGGACAGATGCAAGTAGCTGGGGAGAGGGGTGTTTTTGGTCCGTTTGACATGTCAATCAGGGCAAGGAGGAAAATGGCAACCGTGAATGAGCGCTGGGCGGAGGGTGCCCAGAGTTGCCCTTCGGTGTCGGCACAAGGCGGTTGTCCGGGATTGACGCAGGCCGGGCCCGCCGCAAAGGCATTGAGCCCTTTGCTGGGGGCCGGGCTGCAACCCCGCGCGGGCAGCCCCGAATAGCTTGTGGCGCAACCCCCCGCCCCCGACCCCCACGGCCTCTTCGACCCCTCTCACAAGTGGGCGGGTCTTCATGTGCAGCCTGCGAGACCGTGCGGCCACTGTCCTCCCTGTACCTCCCCACCCCTTTTGTGATTACCTTGTGTCTAGAGCAGGAAGTACTCTGCCCTCCCATAATTCATTTCTTTTTTCAGATTATATCAATCTCATTCTAAGCATGTCGAGTTTTTCTTTTTGAAGTTTGCCCCATCCATCACCACCTTTCCTAGCTGTCGTTTAGAGAAAACAAGTTCTCGAGTTGCTTAGGCATCGCCTAGCGCTGTACCTGGAACTTAGTAGCAGCTAACATGTTTCATAAATCAACGCCCGGTTTCCCCCAAGGGATTAAAGTTGGCATTCATTCTCTTGAGAATTAAGTGTTTTGAGCAACGCTGTTCATTCTCACAGGATTTTGTCAAGTGCGTAAAGTACACTTTGTAATCACAGATTTTAAACCTGAAAGGTGATTTAGAGAAAATCCAGTTTATCCCTCTTTTACAGATGAGGACCCCCGGCCTAAAGAGCATGTAGCTTGAACCTCCTGAACCTCCTAAGTAACTGGCCTCCAGGGATCCAGAAGCCTTGGTAGTCACACTGTGCTCTCTAGCACACCAGGAGTGCAATGCCAGTTTAACCCATTCACTGTAGACACTCCACCAGAGGTGTTTATACTTGGCTTGTTCCAGGTTCCAGTGTGTGATGGCTCTGGTATTTTAAGAAATGGGGTTGGCACTATTTTTAGGTAGAATAGACTGCCCGGGATGTATTTTGGAGCTCAAAGCCTGTCTTCCCCTCCCCCGCACCCCATTCAGCCCTATTCTCTGCAAGAACAACCAACTTTTGCAGCATTGGTTGCTTCCTTAGTTAAGGCATCAAAATGCTTTTTAGCAATCTGGATATGTTTAATTAAGAGAACTATCAATTCATTATCAGACATCAGAACAATGATGGGATAGGACATGGAACAGATTAGTAACAATGGCTGGCAGATTATCACGAAGCAGTGGAACATAATTGGGATGGTCGTGCAAGAAAGGCCCATGGAGTCGGGGTGTGGACCTCACAGACTGGCTACACCTTTTTGCCCAGCCCTGTCCTGAATGTCTGTTTGGAGTATCTATTTGGAGGTAGTGGAGCTGGATTCTGCTCAGATTTGGTTGCTGTTTATTAAGTACCTGCAGTGGCTAGCTGCTTTCATAAATGAATTTCCAGTACTTACCAAAAAGGAGGTAGTATTGTCGCCATATTACAAAGAGGAAACAGGCTCAGAAAGACTTGGTTGGCTTCAATGATGCAGTCATTTGCAGTATTCAAGCCTCCATCACTTATCCACCCAAGTCCAGTCTATGCTCTTTTGCACTATATCTCACTACCGCTTCAAGCCAGAAAGGGGATGAGAGAATCGCCTGTGGCTGATTTATTGGCGCCTGTGGTTGCCCAGAGAGGCTGAGCAGGACTTTCAGCTGCCCTCTGTGCCTTAGAAAGTGGAGCTGTGTGCTTCCACCCTATCTCCTGAGGGGAATGCGAAGGAGCCAGGCTGTCTAGCTGGGGAGGAGGGGCCCAAGTGCCTTGGCCGTAAAATATCCTGGTGAGAGCTGTGCTGGGAAGTGTTGCATAATGCCCTCCTCGCCACTGAACCAAAGTGATTTATTTACTATGGTCTGTAGGTGGTGCTTGACCATCTTGTTAAAGAAAAACGTGTTCATTTTAGTAATAACAGGGCCAGAAAAGAGTTTGGGATTTTATATTATTGCAGGTTTTTTTCTTTGTCTTAAAAAAGCAGTGCAGGTGCTCTTATCTCGATAAATTATAAAGTACTTCTAAACCACTTCCTGTGCCCTGTTTCTGCTTATTTATTCCAAGTTGCACATGAATGTCAGTCTTTTGAGAGAAGAATGCTAAGAAAAATACTGCTTCAGTTTATAGTTAAGAGCACAGGCGATGGAATCAGCCCTAGCTTTTGATCCCTACTTCATACCATTTGCTGGTTATGTGTCCTCAGCCTGTAAAATGGAAATAAAAAGAACACATATAGTTATGGTGAGGATGAAAAGAAATAATGTACATAGAGCCCTTAGCACAAGGCCTTGCATATAATATTTACTCATTATAATAATAGCTATCAGTAATAACTAGAACAGCATTATTCCCTCTGGGATTGGATTGCTACTTGAGCCTGCTTGAGGAGAGTGGGGGAAGAGGAAACAGTTTGAAGCAAATATCAGTTTCAGGATTATTAATGGAATTTAACTCTCCCTTTGCTCTCAGGAATTTTTTTCTTTTTTTTAACTTTATCTGGAGAAAAAGTGTTTATAGTGTTTTTGAAATTTTTCTAATTTATTTCTTCCCTGCTTACAAATCAATAGACAATTACTTTTTGTTCCTTCTGAAAAATTCTAGACACTTTAAGCAAAGTGTTTCATTAGCCTCTATGGATAATGTGTTTGTGGAACGCTCCATGGCAAAAGTATTGGTTCACCTATATTCAGAAGTTATAATCATTCTTATTTGTACTGTATTCTAGGTCTGTACTAGCATTGTCGTTTTCCAACTTTCTCCTTTCAGTATCTGTTTTTTTCTTTCAGAAATAATAGTTTTTATTTTTTTGGTGGACTAAGAAGAATCTTCTTTCCTTCTCAGAGTTCTGATATTTTTAAGGTCCACTAGCAGTTTGCACTCACGGTGTTAGCATTCTTGTTTGCCTGGTACTGTGGCTTTATCAGACATCCCACATGTTGGTTAGATGGGGGTTAGAGATGTAAGGCTGGCTGTGTCTGCCAACAGGCAAGAGGCCCCAAACTAACGTTTCCCTGTTCCGTTAAAGGTTTCTAGAGCATAACTGCTCTTCCTGTATCATCTGCCACATCTATTTCTTACCTTCTTCTCTAATATTTTCAATGATTTTCATAAGCAGATGCCTTGAATTACTGCAGATTTTACCTCAACCATTATTTTTAGATTTGGAATTTCCATATTATTTATAGGTGTAATGGTGTATGAGAGTAAACATCTCTTTTTCCTAAATACTTTTTATTTTTTATTTAAATTTTTTTTATGGCGACATTGGTTAATGAAATCCAATGTTTCAGCGGCACACTTTCAAACAGTAAGGAATATGTGTGTGTGTGTGTGTGTGTGTGTGTGTGTGTGTGTGTGTATATGTATATATATATATATATACTGTGTGTTCACCTCCCATAGTTAGATTTTTTTTTTGTCACCACATATTTGCCTAAGTACTTTTTTAAAAAAAGTTTGAAAATGGTGTGTTCCTCCTCTGCCCTCAGTGCCCAGCCTGCTAGCTTGGGAGCATTTTTGTTTCTTAATCTAGCTAATTATTTAAAGTTACGATTAGAATTCTAATTGTTGATTTTTATTCATTTAATGTAATTGGCATAATTCCCACATTTTGAGCATTTCTTGTGAAGTTGCTTTTTTCCCTCTAATTTTAGGGTGTGAAATATTCTCTAGAGTTTCTTTGGTCCTCTCTTCTTCTAACTCAGTGACTCTTTACTGAGGCATCTTATTAGAATCAACTGAGGAGCTTTTGTAAAAAGTACCTGTACTTCACCTCCGGCAATTCTGTTTGGGTTAGTCTGGAGTAGGATTCGGGCTTCAGTACCACTCTACATGGAAACTTTTATAATAGCAATAAGAGCCACTATTTAAGATAAAATTATTTCTGCAAATATTCTTTCTCTAGGTTATAAAATGTTACACCTCCACAATCATGTGAAAATACCATTAAAAAGTTAAAATCATTGTATAAAGTCTTTTATCATGTACCAGCTTGAGTATTTCTGCTTTTACCTTCGTATTTACAGTTGTGATTAAGTATCTCAATAAAGGTGTATACATTTCCTCTGTCAACTTTCCTATTCTTAATGATAATTAATGAAGTCATAGTGATAGGAATTACAGAGAAAATATCTAAGACTTTTCCACAGAAACAGACATCTTATTCCTTCTGTTCCTTTTTTTTAAATTAAAGATTCTAACAGGAAAAAAAAAAAGATTCTTATAGCTTGAGAGAATAAAAGCTGTGTATTCCAGGACACCGTTCTGGCTACCATGGATCTGAGAGTCCAGTCTAATACAGTAGATTTCTTTTAATAAATAAAAATAAATGATATTGAATATCAAGCTAACTTTGAATTAAATATACTAGTGTAAAACTGTTCTAGATTACTTAGTTTGAGCTAATCCAGAATTATTGCACTCTAGTAAGTAAACAAGGTTTTTGTAGTTTCTCTTAAATATCAATCCTAACCCTATTACTATTCTATAAATACCACTTTATAACAAAGCATTTTAAAATGTATCGCTCTTAAATTTTGGCTCTAGTATTTATAAATATAATAAAATGATAAAATATTTTTCTGCAACCTCTCTCACATCTTGAAATTTCCACCAGAAATTCTCAAATGTAACTTTTAAGATCTTTCTGTATACATAGGAAACTTTGGCTGTTCCACATACTAGTGAAAATAAAACCGAAGGTCAAAGAAATGAGCAAATGCTATATAAAAAGCCTAGCTAACAATTTGCAAAGTAGGTTGTATTAGAAAATGTTCTCAGTAACTTTGTGATGGATCGGCTCTGTTGACCTGAGGTACAATCTGGTTGTGTTGCTTTAAAACATCAAATGTCTGTTAGTATGCCAACAAGTTCCAATGAAAAGAAACTATTATGCATAAATGTTGTGTGTGTGTTTTTAACAGGTCAGAATTTTTTTCATTCTATAAACTTGGAAAATTTATCCCCTTATTTGATTCAGTATATTTGTGAAATCTATCAATACATATGTTGAAAGTTGTAGATCAAGATTTTGAAGAAAGGGCACTGAGTTTAGAGTCAGACTCGAATAGAAGTACTCCCATCACTATTTAATAGCTAGTTGTCTGACTTTGGGTGCCTTTCCTTCCATCTCTGAGCCTGTGGTTCCTCAACTATAAAGTGGAACTAATTCCTGTTCCAGTTCCACATAGGATCATAAAAAGATAGTGTGGGGCAGAGGTTCTCAAAGTATGGTTGAGGGACCCCTTGGAGGTTGCTGAAACTCTGTCAGTGGGTCTACAAGGATCTTTCTTTTGCAGGGCCAAGTTCTCTTAATATACTTGAACCAAAGTAGCAACAGATTGAATGCAGAAGCAGAGAAAAGATCCCAGCTGTATTTTTTAAAGCCAGATACTGAAGAGGATTGCAAAATATAAAGCAGTGCCACTAATCTTACTTTAAAATATATATATATATATTTTTTTATTTTAGGAAAAAATTTATTATCTGTGTTAATATGTCACAGGTTTATTGTTATTTTAAATAAATTTTTTAAAGTTTCTCACTTCTAATTTCTCATATGGCGAATATTGTTAAGATAAGCATAACCCACATAAGTAACAGCTTTTCACAGTCCTTCATACTTTTTCTTAAGAAGGTAAATGGATCTTGAGACCAGAACTTTTTAGAACTGCTGATAAAGGGTAATGACTGAGTAGTTCCTATTAAGATTTGAGATTTATAAAAATAAAAGTTTATAGTGTTACTGAGATAAAACTAAAAACTTGAAAAAAGTTTAAACTGCCAGATGTCATTTGTGAGTGATAAAAAGCTGGCAGAAACTGGACTGAAGTTTCTGGAGAGTCTACACTTGGAAGAGGAGAATAGCAGTGGATAAATTTTCATTTTTATGCTTTTTATCCTGAGAGAAGGCCCCACTTGGTGACAGGAGGGGATGGCTAAAACTGGAATAACCTGTAATCTTGAAGAGGACAGTTTAGAGTGAACAGATAGCTGGAAAGTAAGGAGAAAAATTCTAGAAAGTATGTGGTGGGAGTGGGAGTAGGGATGCTAAATACTGTATATAAACTCAGCGTGAATCCCTTGCCAATCCCTAAACTTATACATGTGTAGAATAGCCTTCAGACAGCACGCCTAACACTGAAAAATCTGAACTGTAGAGAACAAACTTGGAGCTAAGTCCATCCAAGTTAATTGTCTGTAAAAACAAAAAAATCAGTACTCTTTGGAAGAATATTACAGAATCTAGAGTCTTTACTATAGTAATCACAATGTCTAGGATATTACCCCAAATGACTAAGTATATGATGAAACAGGAAAGTATCACGCTAATTAATGGAGATTGACTCCAAGATGACCTAGAGGTTGGATTTGGCAGGGAAGATTTAAAGCAGCCATTATAGCTCATGGATATAAAGCAAAATGAGTTTATAATGTGTGAACAAATAGGAAATCACAGCAGAGAAATAGAAACTAAAAAAGAATAAGATAATTCTAGACCTGAAAATGTAATATCTGAAATAAAAAATTCACTGAGTTTGTTTAATAGATTAAAAATGACGGAATCAGTGAACTTGATAGATTAATAGGTATTTTCTCATCTGAAGTAGAAATAAGTGTACATGAAAGTTCTCTACAAACTTCATAACATCAGGGATTATATAGATTTCTCTCAAGGCCTAAACTCACCTATTTCCTTTGTGTATTGACTGATTCCAGTTTGTAAACCAATGCTATCTAAATACTTTTCAAGTCTCTCCCCTCACCTCGACCATTTACTTTTCACTCTCGGAAAAGGATATCTCTTCTCCATGGCTAACTGCTATACTTACACTTTTGATTGTGTTCCTTCTGGCTTCTAGAGATTCCACCCTTTATCCTAAAAGTCGTCTTCAGTCTGTAGCATCCTCAGTGTCTTCGTTGTACTGACCTTTTATGGCCTCTGCTTTCTAACATCTCACATCCTTGCAGCCGGATAGTTTGCTCTTGCTGTTAAATGTTTCAGAGATCATCAGAAACCTCTTGGTCACCATACTTGGGGTTGTGGGAATAGGCCTCATCCCCATGTTTTTCTGTAGCATTTTCCGTCATTGCCACCTCCTCCTACCAAGGTTCTCACTTTCCTTCACATCCTTTTTCCTCCTCTTCTGTCTTATTGTCTTGTCTGTTTTTTAAAGGTTCATTCTTGGCCTTTTTTCCCCCTTATTTTACTCAATAGTCACATTCACTCCTGATGATTTAGTCTTGTCATTCCAGAGGACATCCTCTCTCTAGCCCTGCTCTCTCTAGAGCCAGTCCAGCATATCATCTCCACTGATCATTAAACATTTCTACTCAGATGTCCTAGAGTGAACACCTTGAACTCAATGTGTCAAAAACTAAACTTATCAAGCCAGTTTCTATGCCTCTTCTCTGGCAGTCTGGGACCCTGCCTTTTTATATCAACACCTAGCACATGGCACTTACTCTGCAAATATGACCTGAAGGAATGAACGAAGTCTTACAGTTAGCCAAGCTGGAATTCTGAGACTCACCCTTGACTTAATCTCTGCGGCTGACCACATCCAGTCTACTGTCAAGTTAAGTCAGTTTTACTTCTGGTGTATCTTCTTGTATACCTTCATTCGCACTGTCATTACTTGGATATTGCAGTAGGTTTCTTGCTGATCTTTATTTCTCCGTGGCCTTACCTTGCTAATATTTTAAATATATTACAAGTAGACCAGTCTTGATACTCAGGCCTAATTATGGTGATGATGATGATGATGTTACTCAGGCCTAATTATGGGGATGATGATGATGATGATGATGACGACGACGACTGGTATGTATTGAATGCTTTCTATGGGCTCCCTATTTCTAGGTGCATATATGCATCATCTTATTAATATATCTAAATAACCTGTAAAGTAGATAGTGTAATTTTCCATATTTTATAAGTGAAACAGAGGCCCAGAGAGTTAAGTGTCAGGTCAAGATCCCATGGCTAAACGACAGAGCTGCAATTTTAATCTAAGCTGATTCCAGAGTTTGGACTTTAACTACTATGCTGTTATCCCTCCCACAGAAAACAACATAGATCTCTATTTCAGACACAGCTGCAATATCTTTTAGTTTTAATTTAGTAACCTCTGTGAGCTGACCCCATCTCTTATTATTCACTTACTTTTGTTTTTTTCTGTGCCAACCTGAATTCTTCAGTTATCTATATATACATACCCCTCCCTGTAATTTTACTCTTTCTAATTTTTCTGCCTGCAGTGTTATGTTCACCTTCTGCCTATTCATCTAAATCTAGTTCAAACAGCTTATTTTCCATTGGGTCACCTGTTATTTATTTCGCTCTCATAGCATGTTCCCCAAACTGCTTTTATGACACTTGTCACTTCATGTCATAATTACTATGTTTTATCTCCCCTATTAGCCTGTAATCTTGATCGCAGAATCTATGTAATTTTTTCCCTACCCTCATGCCTTGTACAATGGGTGCTTTCAAATATTTTTCCTTTATTAAATTTTTCTTCAAAAAATATTTTTCATTAAGTGAATTTAACTGTTACTCATAGCCCAGTAACCACAAAATTTTTTATATATGGCTTTTTAGTGTGCCATTTTCATTTCCATATGGTTCAATGGTTCATTATACTAATGTTATGTATGTATATACATCTATATATACATGCATAGATATATCTATATTTATATATATAAATATATATAACTGGTAAAAATGTTTATGATCTGGGGGGTTTTGAGACAATTTGTAAGGCTAGTTAAACCATTTGAACCATTCATTGAATCTAAGACAGTTTTTCACATACTGAAATCTCTAGAGTTTTATTTTGGTATTTTAGTCTTCCTATAAATTGGTGATGTATTAGAATCAGGGAAATGTAAGTACAATAAATAGTGGTTTTTGGTTAAAAGGCCTTTGGGAATAATACCCACACTTGGATTTTGTTTGTATTCTTAGAGGTAGGCTCAAGTCTCCAGGTTTCGTTATATCGTTATTTCTTATTTCATTGCTACTTAAAGGCTTTTAAAATGAGAAGGTAAGGGATAAGAGATTTGTTTTTGTTTTTGTTTTTTAATTGGGGAGAAATAGGGGAAACATGTTTGAATAAGTAGGTTTTTTTTTAAAAGTAATGTTTAATGTAGAATTAAGCAAGTTGCAGGATTCCTAAAGTACAGTATTATTTGTAAAAAATTTTCAAACATCCAGAACAGTACCATACCTTCTTGAGGGATATATACATATGCAGTAACATCATGACAATATACAGGAGAGACATAAACATCAAATTCAAGATGGCATTTACCTTTGGAGGCAAGGTTGGTGCTGGGATAGAATGAGGGAGAGATGCCAGGGGCGTCAGGAGGGTCTCTACCATGTTTGCAATGTTTACTTCTGCGCTCAGTGGTGGGTGGTTAGGTGGGTGCTACATTGTTCTCTGTACCTACTTGTCCATCTGAAATATTTCATAATTTAAAAAAAGGAAAAGGTATATATGTAGGTATGTCTGCTATTAAACTTCTATAAAAGGTTTTTTAAAAATTTTAAACAGTACAGTTCCCCCTACCTCTAACTCCCTGCTCCCTAGTTTCCCTCCCATAAACGAACATTTTACTCATTTCTTTGATGCTTCCCAGAGATATATACATAAACAAGAATATATTTATGAGTAATTTCCTCCCTCCCCCACCTTTAAAAATAAAATAACCACTCCACCCCTTTTACATAAGTGGTAGTGTTTCTTATTTTACTTTGCTTTTTTTACTTTATATATCTTGGAGATTATTCCATATTGGTACATTAAATATGTAGTTTTAATAAAAATAGATTTAACTTTTTATCAGTAATAATCATGTTTATCTTTACCAGTCTAGACTTTATCCACTAAGTATAAATGTTTGTTTCGCTGTGTCACATTTGTTTAAGTGGCAGGAATCCAGATTTTTCCCTGATTTCTCTTTCCAAATATTTCTGAGGCTTCCTGGGGTCCCTTGATGTGTAACTGGACTGATGGTTCCCTTGGTTCTTCCAGTCATGTTCCCTCTGGGAGGTAGAGGGGGAGGTCGTTTGAGTGCCTGGGTTTGAATACTCTCATCTGTCACTTACTAGTAGTTTGACCTTGAGTAAATTAACTCTGTGCTGCTGATTCAGTTTCTTCATCTGTAAGACACTGAGTACTCCCTTTCTCATAGAGTTGTATTAAATGAGTGGAAATTGCCTGATAACATAGGAAGCACTATAAAATGTTAGCTATTTTTACTATATTATCACTCAGCTGTCTGCTGCCCAAGCTACTGCCAGTCTCCAGACAGCCAGCCCCACACTCTAATCACTGACCTCCTTACACCTTGGTCTCCCCGGCTAGTAAGGAAACTTCATTCTCCTTTTAGAATCTGCTTTTTCAGTGGAGGCTCTCCTGGACCCACAGTGATGCCCTCTATACCACAGCCGCCGTCTTTCTAAAGCACCAGGGCTCTCTGCAGAGTTGGGGTGGAGAAAGTGATAAAGCACAGCTTCCCACCTGTTTGGAACCATGGAAGTCTTGAATGTCCTTGCTGCTCATGCTAAATTTCTCTGCCAGAATTCTTTTGCATGTTATTCCTCATGCATGATTTTTTCCTCCCGAGGCCAGTGCTCTCATCCTGCATTCTACTTCCTTCAGGAACCTCCATGCATGTATGTATCTGAAGTCAGTTAAGATCAGGGTTTAGGTTCTTTCCCATGGGGCTCCCGGGCCCATGTAAATCAGAGGATGTGGCTGAGCATCTATTTTAAGGGCTCCTGAACTTACTGTGACTGATAAGTTTCCCAAACATTGTGTGATAGGCCAGTGTCCCCTGAGCACACAGGATCCCTAAGGCACAGCGACAGCTCTAGCCTAGCCAAGACATACTTATTAACATTTATAGCTAACATTTGAATAGCTGTTTCCAGTACAAGGTGCTTTTCACATAACTTATTTAGGGATAAATATCTCATTCCTATTTTTCCAGTGAGGAAACAGGACTAGAAACATTGTGGTTACCTAGATTTAAAAGAACAGGCCTTATGCTCCTATATCATTCATACCAAGCAACCTTCTTACCAGATGAAAAAAGTCCATATATATTTACAGCTTCAGTAGAGTTGATATCAATTGTCATAATAGGAGGACTTAATGTTAGGTTTGGGGTGAAATTAATAGTATTGAAAACTTTTGAATAATTTCATTTAAATTTAGGTCTCCTTGTATTTTGTAGGTTTGTGTGAACTATAACCAATTTTGCAAAAAAAAAAACTTTATATTGTCCTTTTTCTCAGAATCACAATGGACACAGCTAGCCATAGCCTTGTCCTTCTGCAGCAGCTGAACATGCAACGAGAATTTGGTTTTTTGTGTGATTGCACAGTTGCTATTGGAGATGTTTACTTCAAAGCTCACAGAGCAGTGCTAGCTGCTTTTTCTAACTATTTCAAGATGATATTTATTCACCAAACAAGGTAAGGATGTGCTTTTTGTAAATCAGATGAATTTTAATGTTGTGGTATATCTAAACCTTATAACATCATTTTAGGGATTTTTTTGTTATGGAGTCACCTTAAGGAATAAAAAGAAAAATAATAAAACAAACAAAAACCAAATAAACAAATAAATAAAACCAATAAATAAGTAAAACCAATTTATCAGTAATTAAATGCAGCGTGAAGGATTTATGGTGAAGATAAGAGTAAGAAACAAAAGCTCAAATTTATTGAAGGCTTATCCCATACCAAGCCTTAAGTATTTACCTGATATAAATTCTACCGTTGTCCATACTATCTTAGAGAAAAAGAAACCAAGACTGAGTAGTTAAGTAACTCGCCCATCTAGGATTACACAGCTAATAAGTAAGACTCATGTACATCTGTGGTCTTAAAAAGTTTTGCTCTTAATCACTAAGTTGCTGATTTCCATTCCATAACACTTTCATAGCAAGGTTTCAGTGTCATAATTCTACCCACTTTATATTCCATATTACAGTTCAAAGGTCATTTGTTTCAAATATTTTTTCAAAAAGTTCTTTTGGATTCAGTTTACCCTAACATGATAAATAAGTAGTGGGAGGGCTGGAAAGTGCTATTCAGATTTTGAGCTCTTGGTAAAGAATTCCTTTAATACATCTTCCATTGAAAGTGATAGAATATTATGTTTTTTAAAAGGACTTTACATGAAATATTTAGGATTTCAGCACCAATTATACATTTTTATTTAATTGCTCACTCATTTAACTATTTTTGAGCACTTACATGTCAGGCACTATGCTAGACCTCAGTAACAGGTAAGTTATACTCCCTGCCCTCAAGAAATTTTTAGTCTAATAGAGATGCAATACATATAAAGAAAATGATTGCAGTATAATTGATCTCTCTGCCTCAGTTTCCTTTTCCAGAAAACACTAGAATAGTGTACACACGCATGCTGTTGAGAAGATTAAATGGATTAATAATATTAAAATATTTAGAACAGGAGCTTCACACTGTTAGCTGCTGTTATTAATAATTAATGTGATAAGTCCATAATAGAAATGTTGTACAAGGTAGAGTGGAATGTCAGCAGCCCTATTTTGAGAAGGTTGAAACAGGTTTTACAGAGGCCCTTGAAGGATCTTGAAGGATCAGGAGTTGTTTTTCAGATGTAAAGGAATGCAAGAAGGTACACTGCAGGCAGAGGAAAAAAAATGCATGAAAACATACAGATATGAACCAGGCTAGATTAAAATGATTGGAATGTATGGCACAAAGAGGATAGGTGGTTAGAGTAGGTAACAGGTTATGGGTAGCCTTTTCTGCCATGCCAAAGAGTTTCCTCTCTGACCTAAGTGTCATTGTAGAAACTAGATTAGAAACACTACCTTCACATCAGTCTTGTCCAAGAGCTGTGAGTTGATTCAGCTCCCATCACCATGCTAAACTAAATCCAGGAGACACAAAGGTGGCAGTTGTGCGGTATCATTGGGCAACTGAAAATCCTCAGTTAACAGCTCTGTGCTGATATAAAAAACTCCTGCCATAGACCATGGCAGTGGGTGGGTCAGAGCTAAGAGTGAAGGCCAAGAGGGAATCCTGAGATATCAGGGCTAAAATGGATTGTCAGCATACTGACACCCAGTATTATCTGATGCATTGTCACAAACTTCTGCTTCAGGGAAGTCCAGTCCATTGACCAGTTCCATTGTTCCTTAACATCCAGCATTTCCCTCAGGTTGTCTTTATCTTAATTTTTCGAGATGTTTTCCTGATTTCTTGTTACACAGTTATTTCTATCTCTTATCTGAATTCTAGATTCATATATAAAAATTGAGTTTGAAACTTACTTTAAAGTTTTTCAAAGTTATCCTGGTATTCATTTGTGATTTAAAGAGGAGATATACTAATATAGTGTGGAAGCCAAAATAAGGTTAACATAATTTAAAGTCTAAATGTTACCAATGTCAGCACACCCTTTAAAATTTTTTAAATATTTTTATTGTAAAATATATGTAACACAAAATTTGCCATTTTAACCATTTTTAATTGTATAAGTCGGTGGCATTAATTACATTCACAGTATTGTGCAACCACCACCACTATTTATTTTTAAAACTTTTTATCACCCCAAACAGAAACTACTCGTTATAATAACTCCCTCTCCTTCCCCCGTCAAACTCCTGGTAATCTCTAGTTTGCTTTCTGTCTCTATGAATTTTGCCCATTCTAAATATTTCTTATAAGTGGCGTCATACAAAATTTGTCTTCTTGTATCTGCCTTATTTCACTTAGCATAATGTTTTCAAGGTTTATCCATGTTGTAGTTGTATCAGAACTGCATTCTGTTTTTTGGTTGAATAATATGCCATTGTATGTACACGCCACATTGTGTTTATCCATATATCCGTTGAAGGACACTGGGTTTCTACCTTCTGGCTAATGCTGTACTCAACACTGGTGTATAGGTATTTGCTTGAGTTCCTGTTTTTGGTTCTTTTGGTTATAGACTCAAAAGACTGTTAAGTTTCTTAAAATCAGGGTACCTATTTTATTTATCAATTTTCTACCTCCTGGCATCTAGTATCACTTAGGAGTCACTACATAAATGTAGTGAATTAATCAGAAAATGAATTAATCAGAAAATCTGTGTTTCCTAACTTTAGGCAGTAGATTGAATACATGATGAATGGTTGCTGGGCCATAAAACTGGTATACAATGAAAATTTAAGCTTTGGTTTCTGTGTTTCATCAAAGCAGATTGCTAAGTTTGAACTTCTTAAGAAAAAATTGCTTTAGCTTAAGACTGTGTACTATTAAATAAAAAGCCAACTGGGTTGTTTCATTTTTTGTGGATCTGTTTTTTTTTAACAGTGAATGCATCAAAATACAGCCAACTGACATCCAACCTGATATATTCAGCTATTTGTTACACATTATGTACACGGGGAAAGGGCCAAAACAGATTGTGGATCATAGTCGTTTGGAGGAAGGGATTCGATTTCTTCATGCCGACTACCTTTCTCACATTGCAATTGAAATGAATCAAGTGTTCTCACCAGAGACTGTGCAGTCTTCAAATCTGTATGGCATTCAGATCTCAACGACCCCAAAATCCACTGTCAAACAAGGGCTGGAGGTGAAAGAAGCTCCTTCCAGTAACAATGGAAACAGAGCTGCTGTGCAGGGTGACCATCCCCAGTTGCAGCTTTCACTTGCTATTGGGCTGGATGATCGTACTGCTGACCAGCAGAGGTCCCGGCCTGCCGCCCAGGCCTTAGAGGAACACCAGAAGCCTCCAGTGTCCATCAAGCAGGAGAGATGTGACCCAGAATCTGTAATCTCTCAGATCACACCCTCACTCTCATCAGAGGTAACAGGTCCCACTCTCACCGAAAGCAGTATCAAAATACACTTATGCCATTACTGTGGAGAGCGTTTTGATTCCCGTAGTAACCTAAGACAACATCTCCATACCCATGTGTCTGGATCCCTCCCATTTGGTGTTCCTGCTTCCATTCTGGAAAGTAATGACCTTGGTGAAGTGCATCCACTTAATGAAAATAGCGAGGTTCTTGAATGCCGCAGGCTCAGTTCCTTCATTGTCAAGGAGAATGAGCAGCAGCCTGACCCCTCAAACCGGGGGACCACAGAGTCTTTGCAGATCAGTCAAGTGTCTTTGATCTCGAAAGACACAGAGCCAGTAGAATTAAACTGTAATTTTTCTTTTTCAAGGAAAAGAAAAATCAGCTGTACCATCTGTGGTCATAAGTTTCTCCGAAAGAGCCAATTGCTGGAACACATGTATACACACAAAGGTAAATCTTATAGATATAACCGATGCCAAAGGTTTGGTAATGCATTAGCCCAGAGATTTCAGCCATTTTGTGACAGCTGGTCTGATAGCCCCCTGAAAAGTTCTCGCTTGTCGCAAGAACAATTAGACTCATCTTGTGCCTTAGAGTCAGAGGTCACACAAGAAAATGTGGACACTATTCTAGTTGAGTAGCAGTTTCTCCAGAATTTTTATATCAATTTTGAAAAAAATTTATATGCATTTTTTATTCATAAATTATTTTCCTCAATTTCTACTGACTTTTTCTTTACCATTTATTCATAGTTTTAATACTGTATATATTAGGTCACCTGAAGTAATTCGTGGCTATTAAAATGTAATCTTCAATTAGGGCTGTGAACTTTTCATAAATTAATTCACAATTTAGAAATCAGAAACCAGTATAGTAATATGGTACTTCAGAGTAAATATTTATAGAATTTCTAAGTTTTTCCAGGTTATAGAATCATTAAAAACAAAACAAATTAACATGAAGTAAATGAAATATTTTTTAAAGAATATTCTAGGCTATCACTTTTGGCTATTTCACATAAATAAGCCCCTATGAGGATTATTTAGAAATATTTCCTGCCATATAGGAAGCTAATGGTTATTTTAATGCATAATTATGATATAATGTATACAAAATTGTTTTAAGGCATAGATATACCAAATCATGAATAGTTTTAAAATTACATTTTACTTACTAGCTCTGCAACATCTTACATGGCTTTTATTTATCATTAAATGTTGAGCATAGCTCATTTTTAATTTAAAAAATTTAGTTAAAAAGACAGGAAGAAATCAGACAAAAAAGAAAAAAAAAACCCAAGAAAGTAACAGTAAGATACATACACATAGATGAACATACAGAGACAGAGATTCAGATAGATCTGCATTGACTAACGCCCCAGTGTTGTTGCTTTAATCTAAAGTGTTTTCTTAAAGACCTTAAGAACAATTGAGATTTTTTTATGAATGGGGATTTACAAAAGTTTAAAGAGAAAAACGATAAAAAACATATTATCTTTATACCCTCAGTGTCAGAGCATTTTCTAGGCTGAGTTGATATTAATTTTCTAACAATCACTTGAAAAAGTAATTTTTCAGTGATACAGTTTTCACTTTTTTCTGGTCCATAAAACCAGCAGAGTAGATAGAATCAGTGTTCTAGAACTATTTTTAAAATAGGTAGGTTTTTCTCTGTGAATAAACTTAACTCCCTTTTATAATGGTGAAAGTTAGAAAGCTAAAACCCCAGAAAAATTAAAACTGATAGAGTAAATAAAGATTCTCCTGTCCTATGTAGCTGGGAAATAACTGATCAAACCTCTCACAAAGGATAGATCCAAATTGTTTCTGAAATGTTTAAATATCAAATACTAGATGGTGAAGAATAACAGAAGAGAGAGGCTTCAAAACAGCTTCACCATTTTTGTACGCTGCCCTGTGAAAAACTCTAAGCCTCACAGACATTTTAATCTAATCAACTTGGTTTGCCAGGCTTAGAATTAAACTGCATACAAAACTCTTTGAGTTCCTCAGTGACTGCATACACTGAGGACATTTCCTGACAACCTTAGCGTTCCTCGACAGCATCAGAGTTCATTCAGGAGGGAGCTCAAAGAGTAATCCAGCTCATTCTAAGGGTACAAAGGTTTTCTCTGGATGAACAGTGAGTTTAGCCGAATTATGAAGTCATAAGTTTTTCTTGAGGGTTGAATGAAGAAAATCACTGGGCATTGTCTAACGCAGTAGAGTTTCTGCCTTAGACAAGTGAGTAAAGCCTCCTGGGGTCAGTATTGATATGTGTTGAGTGCAAATCTAACTTGTTATGGATGTAGGATCAATAGGAGTAGTTAAATGTGTTGCTCTTTGGGGTCAGAATGTCATTTAATCTTAGACTTAAATTATGTAAGCAATTATGCACACTCATACTGTCTTCAAACATTTTATCTCATAGGATGAACATAAATATTAACATTGATTTCATGTATTTTAGGCTATTCAAGATCTATTCCCTAGCCGTCTTCAAGTGAAATTTTATTTTTCTCATTAAGATAATTTTTTCTGATTTTTCTTTTCTGTATTCTTTACTAATTGCTCAGTTGTTATTAGTCCTTGACACAAGAAGTACATAGCTAAAGGGTGGGATTAGGGGTATACAGGAGTTGTGGAGTAGGGTAGCAGTTCAGGGTAGGATCTGGAGAAATTGTAAGAATTTGCTTGTGGCCGATTGGCCATGATAGACAACATTAATTTAAAGCAGAAATGTATCTACATTTGTTGGATCTTGAGAAAATAGAGGTTAACTGTATTTTTATTCTTATTCATATAGTTTTTTTATTTTTAATTTTTTTCTGCCTTTATTGAAATATAATAGACAGTTAGTTGCTTATATTTACATTGTATAATTCAGTGAATTTTTTCCAATTATAGTTGGCATACAATAATATACCAGTTTCAGTTGTATAGCATAGTGATAAGAGATCCATATAATTTGCCAAGTGATCACCCCACTAAATCTAGTACCCTTCTTTCCCCTTACATATTTATTACAACTTTATTAACCATCTTCCCCTTGCTACACTCTACATCTCCATGTCTATCCTGCAACTATCCATTTGTACCTCTTAATCCCTTTGCCTTTTTTTACTGTCCCCCTCAACATCCCTCTCATCTAGTAGCCCTCAAAATAGTCTCTGTATCTATGAGTTTATTTCCGCTTTTATTGTTATCTTGATAACATTTGCTTTGTGTTCAAAGCAAATGTTCATGATATTCTCTCTCTTTTAGGAAGTAGAAAAATGTTAACTCGTTTTATAGAAAAAAAAAATCCCAAAAGCTGGGTTCTGGAGAACCAGTGAATAGTGGAGTGGGGGCTGACCAATTTTTTTTTCATTTGTTTAACAGGCATATTTTTTAAATAGCTTATATGACTAATGCTGCGCTCTGGGTGTATTTTTTTAAAGTATGATTTCTCACTAAGAAAATCTGATTTGTATAAAAAAAGTTTTTTCAGCTAAACCCTTTAGATTTGACTACATCATCTGTAAAATGGAGCTAATACTCTTACCCATTATGGTATGGGTTGCACAATGATTACCAAACTCTAAATACTGGAAATGCTATATGCACCTTAATCAGTGTATCAGGCACATACTAAACAGACATTTCTCTCTTGGATCAGCTTAGAATCTTCCTTTCTTTCCAGAAACAGACTATTTCACTACTTGTTCTTATTAGCACGTTGTCAGAACTCATCTGATAAGTGCAGTCTGCCTTATGAGAAAACCAAAATTTCTTGATTCATATCTCTGAGGTTGTTATTTCTTGCTCTTATTTTCTGATTTCCCACCTGTAAAATAGATATAAGCAATCCCTACCTCACAGGGGTGTTGTGAGGATTTGTATTAAAATTGCGTTAAGTGCTTAGTAACTTAACTAACCATGTAAAGAAAAATTCTATAACTAAGCCTATTAACTTCTATATTTCAACCTGTAAATTCTAGAATGCCTTAGAAGCAGTCATATACTATTTAATATGTGATAATTCATTGACAAACTTTATTTTTTACAAATACTCTAGAAACAGCAGTGTTGCCAGAATTCCTATTCTAACATAGTTTAAACAAGGAGAATATTAGTTCTTTTGCATTTGGGGGAATAACACCTTGCCATTCCAGCTTTACTGAAAGTTCTCCTAAATGTGTTGTTTACACCTAGGAAAAGGAACAAAGCAATGGAGAAAATATCATTTTCTTTGATGTAGGTCGTTATAAAAGTAGATGGGGACAAGAAATGGAGTGGGGATAATAGCATAGTAATTCATTAGGTTCTATTAAAATAATATTGGAAAGGCTTCATTTATAACTGAAGGAAATACATATTAATCATGGAAAAAGCCTGAAAATGTATAATTCCATTAACATTTATTTATATGGGCATATTCTGGATGTTGTAACTCAGATCCTTGATAAGTATCAATTTTTTGTCATAATTGAGGCAAAAAAAAATAGGTCATGTTAAGAGTTTTCATAATGTGACTTGTCTTTATGTGTTTAAAACTAAATGTAGCTCTATGGTATTTTATTATAATTTTTAAATTTCTAAGAGTGAAATCTGTAAGGGATTATTCCCTGTTGTACTTCTGTGTTTGTATGGTTGGACTTTTTGAAAATTGGTGAGATTAAGCAATTCCAAGCCCAGATATCTTAAATACAAGGAATCACAAACTGTGATTTTGTCTCCGAGACCTGGAAGAATCCATTGTGCTTCAGTATGCATCTGTGCCATACGTGATTACTTAGTAGATTTTGCTCTAGTGCAACTGACGCTAAATGTCATCAACTCTTCTATTTTGTGCCAAGTAAAGTTGTTTAGTCAGATTAGATCAAATGTCAAAATACTTTCAGAGAAACTTGGATTTCAAAAACTTGTCCAATAATAAAGGCCCAGTGAAGAAATCTTCAAAGCACAAGTAACACATAGCAAAACACGGGAGACTGAAATCAATAATATATTGTATGGTTAAACTCTTCTACCTAATGTACTGTGAGTTTGCTTCAGAAGCATTCTTTTAAAAAGTTTTGTATGGAATGAAGATAGTGGATTTTACATATTTTATCATGACAAATAAATTAATGTGACTCGATCATAAACATAATCTCGTATTAGGTCAGCTTATAGAATGTGTTCTTATTTTACAGCAGTGTCTGCCAAATGTCTTCCTAGTGTTGAGGTAAGTGCCGGGTAACAATTTGGATGTATCATGCAAAAATGTATCTGTGAGCCCAATTCTTATCAACCATCATCCAGCTACCATCTCTGGAAAGAAAGATAACATCTAGTCATTGCCCAGAAGTTTTCTTGCTTTGCTTCTGTCTTTCTTCCCTATTTATTCTCTACTGTATCTCCTCCAAGTAACATAATCTACAACAGTGGTTCTCAACCAGGATATATTAAGGTTCCCCAGAGAAACGAGCCAACAGGATGTATGTATGTGTGTGTGTGTGTACCTCCTGGCCAAGTTGAGAGAGAGAGAGAAAAATTGATTTACTATAATGAACTGGCTTATGCAAATATGGAGGCTAAGAAGTCCCAGGTTCTATATTTGGCAAACTGGAGACCCAGGAAAGCCAATGGTATGATTCCAGTCCAAAAACCAGCAGCCCCACAAAGGCAGGAAAAGACCAGAGTCAAGTACTCTCAGAAGGGTCAACCTTTTTGTTCTATTCAGGCTTTGAACTGATTGGATTAGGGCCACTACCATTAGAGAGGGCAGTCTGCTTTATTCAGTCTATTGTTTCAGATGTTAGTCTCATCCAAAACACCTTCACAGACACACCCAGAATAATGTTTGACCAAATATCTGGGCACCCCGTGACCCAGTCAAGTTGACACATAATGTTAGTAATCACACGGGGTAGTCTCCCTCACCATAGGGACTTTTGGCAACATGGAGATGTTTTTGGTTGTCAAACTGGGGGCGGGGGGGGGGGGGGGCGTTGAGGGAAGAGTACTACTGGCATCTAGTAGGTAGAGGCCAGGTTTGCTGCCAAACATTTTACAATGCAGGGAATAGCCCCACAAAACAACTGTCCAGCCCAAAATGTCAGTAGTGTTGATTTTAATACTGTTTTTACAGAATATGAGATGTTAGTTCAGAATTAAATTCTGTTTGTATTATCCTTTATCCCAGCTTTTAAAAGACAAAAATGATTATTAAAAATGAGAGATGTATTAAGTACCAAAACAGTTTTAAATCTATTCATGTAATATTTGAAATAAACAGTTATGCCTCTAACAAGGTCTCTGTGAAATTAAAATGTGATTGTATATTGTAATTTGTGTAAATTTTTAATCTGCCCAAAAGGTGGCACCAATGTACCTTTTAAGACTTACTATGTCAAATTTAGCATCAGTATCTGTTTAATTCACTATTTGTTTAGTACTTAGCTACTCTTATTACCTTGTTTTACTGTATAGAGTCATGACTGATGAGGATTTTCCTAGAATCCGATATTAGGTGCCGTAATATTTTGGCATCCCTCTTGGATTGAGATGCTTCCAATTTACATGTAAATATATTATAGCAGCAGATAAACTTTTTAAAATATCACATTTATTGTGATTGTTATATTGAGCATTTCTGAGGATTCTTGTAAACTTTGGAATTTGTCCCAATCATATTTGCTTTTTTATCAGGCACCAAACTCAGTTTTTGGTTTTATTCCTGGTCAGGAGGTAAACCCAGAGATAATTTGAGTAAATACTCTCTTGTTTCTTGCCTCTCGTATTTTTTCACATCCTCATCCTGTGAATTATTTTCTGGAATATATTTTCTTTTTTAACTATGGTTCAGTAACTGACTTTCTAAGCTGGTGTTCTTTATTCTTTTCTTCCCTCACTTCTAACCAGCTATAATCTCTGAGTAAGATGAGACCTTTATTAGTTATTTTGCATTCAACTCTTCTTGCCTTCCAATACTAAGTGAATATAGTCTCCCTCCCCCCCATCATTTCTGCTTGCAATATTATTATTAATATTATCCTAGGACTTTGTACCTAATCACCAAATGCTTCTCTTAAATTTAGTTTATAGCTGATTAGCCAACTTGGAGAATGAACCCACTTCCTCTCAGATAAATTCTCTTCTATTGTTTATTCAGTGTTGAAACTTTTATTGTAACAACTTGGTACTACTGCATCAAAATAATGAAAATAAAGTATCTTCCCTTAAACTGTTAGAAAAATGGTGTCCTTTCGTGTCAGAAATCTGAAAGCATGGCAGTGTTCTGGGAGGGATTCTCTGTACAACTGAACTGGTCCTTGCTTTCCTGGGACCTGGAGGAGAGGCTTATGCAGGAAGGAAGCCTGAGGAGGCCCTCACCAGCTGTAGTTGTCACCCCTTGGTTTATGTTATTACTGAATTTCAGGAAGGTCGTGTTAGATTTGTGTGGACCAAACAGGCCTTTGAGGAATTTAGCTATGCCACATTTTTCTGTAGCAGAAGCCATGTGGCACTTAGTCCAAACCATATGTAGGTAAGTAAAAAAAAATTTGTTAACTGGCATTTTGTATAAGTGCCTTATTAGAGAGGAAACTCTAAAGAACCTATGGTGGTTCTTTAGAAAAAGGATATAACATTTGCAGAAGGACAAAGTTTTACAATGCGGGTCGAAGATTCCAGTAGAGTGAGTCTCAAAAGTCTTGACCAGTTCTCATTTCTCAACATTGCCTTTTTTTTTACATATATGCAAGACTAGTGCTGTGAGCTCAGTGGTAACTGTCTTCTATTTTTATCACACTATTTTCAAGTGTGGGAGGAAAAGCATATAAATGAAAGACTCCTTTTTTATTTTAAACATCTCTTATTTCACTGTTAACACCACAGTTTTTGCGGATCTCTAATTGGTGGCTATGTTCAGAGCCACCACAGATGGCCGAGCCCATTATGCACAATAAACGCTAGGGGGCACCACTACCAAACTAATACTTCTGGAGTTGGGCCGTGCAGAATTTGCACAGCCATGCACGGTAGCCCTGCCTTTCCTTACCTGGTTTAAATGTTGGGTTTAAGAAGCCCTTATTTTTAATTTCTGCAGCAAGTAGCAATTTTCACTGATGCAGCCAGGAAATTAAATACACAGCTGTATAAAAAACAAATCAGAATAAGAAAAAATACCCCCGTAGTTTTGACACAACTACGTTTGTCAAAATTTGTAAAATTGCATAGTGTACTAAAAAGGGTGGGTTTTAGATGTATGGACATTATATCTTAATGGAAAAAGTTAAGACCACCCAGATAAATATACAAATGTCTTAGAGCTTAATGAACTATGATGATTATTGTTCACTATTCAACCTTCCACAGGCCAGGAAAAGCACATCAGCCAGACATTAAAGGTATAGAGGAAATCCATAAAACTAAAAAGATAATTCTAAGCAATTCACTCTGAAATCAGCAAAATTATTGATAAAGCTGTGGTACATCTCTATAAAAGATCATAAAGTCAGGTTGACTTTTTGCACCTGAATTGAACAGTGACTAATTGTTTTGGCATTTTGTATGCCATTATCACAGCCTTACACAGAGCACAAGGACAAGTCTAACCATTCTGATCAGGATTGAATTACTCTGGTTTTGAATGACCTGTTTAAAGAGAAGTGATATTCTGACTAAGTTTTTATGCTGCAAATGGCTTCTCCATATGAAATGTCTGCATTGTAATTATATATGAGGATACTTGATTTGAGCATGCATGCTTGTAGCTGCATTAGTTGTGATCGTGATTGATCACAGATGTGACCCAGAGACCCACTTATAGCCATACCTTCCTGTGACCAGACTTTTCTGTGACCTAAAGGTATAGATGTCAAAGTAGAGATTTGGGAATAAAAAGTTTGAGTCACCCTGTGCTCCACAACTCCCAAGAGTGTAAAAGTGGAAGGCTTGGGGTTTATGGCTACAAGTATAGTTGTGAAAAAGTATGTGAAAGGTTTAATCCTTGCCTCATAATTGCACTTTCATACAGATCAAGGTAAGACCGAAAGTCCTATTTGAGTTGAAAGTCCTATTTGAGTTTATCGACAAAATGAGTCATAGGGAGATGTGCCTTGTTTTGCAAATGTGCAGAAACTGCTGGACATCAATACCATTGCTGTTAAGATAGGTTGGAATTTACAGAGACTACTTTCAGTTTGGGAGTTTTCCAGGCTGGGGGCCACTGCACCATTCTCCCCTCACCTAGGTGTTCCTTAATTGTTCATGGTGCCTGTGCTCAGCTTTGCTGAGGATTTTCTGTAGAAGTGTAGTGTGCTCGTGTACAAACACATATAGCTCACTCTCTTTCCTAAGCTCAGGAACTTAACCCCTGGTGATCTCAAGCTTTCAGGGGTTGAGGAGGGCAGGTACTCACAAAGGGGCTGGGGACTCCAGATTTCAGCAGAATTGCCTGTGAGGACAAATTTTACAAAAGGTAATTTATCTTTTATATTAGAAAGATGTCGTTTAATAAAACATTTTTAATTCTACAAAATGTGAAATAGTAAATACCTTATGTACAGAGTTTATACATTAATAAGACATTTTGCTTTGGAACACAGTTTAGTTTTAGGGCTTTTAAGGCACTATCAACTTTAAATAGGTCCCAAGATTGGAAAGTACATTCTTTCATATAGCCCAATTATTATTATTGGGCTGTGCTTAAGAAAAAACAGGTTTGTCAACATGAGAATAAAATCAGTGTCTCAGTAAACAGAACTTTTGAAACACCTGGCTTCAGTAGGTACCATCTAAATGACTTTAAGCATTTTCACATCAAGATTGCTTAGTTATTTGGAAAACCATAAAGATTATTAACAATTCATAGTTTAATGTAGACAAGGCAACTAATGAGTATAGCAAGAGATAAGGAAAACAAGTGCACCTCTGTCAAATTCATAGAAGGCATCAGAATTGTTCTTTATGTGAAATTAGTTCAATGAAATTGAATTCAAGGTCTAGATATTTGTGTTTCTCTTTGCTGAAGGTGACTCTTTTAAAAGGCACGTCACTGTGAAGTCTCTTACACACCCAATCAATCAGCAGTAGAATTTTAGGTAGTGCTAACTCCGTAGTTAGGTCAGTGTGATCTTTATAGTTTTAGGAAATGAAAGTAATATACCATGTTTCTATTAAAAGATTGGGTAAATCAAGTAAACATGAGCCAATATAACATTTATTCTGTATTAACAGTCAGTACATGTATTAATTCAGGTTGAAAACTTTTTCTACAGAGTATTATTTTTTTAATATTAGCATCTGATCCACAGTAATATAGTACTAATTTTAATGAGAAACACAAAATGGAACTTTTACTTTCATAATAGCTCATCCACTTAACATTTTACAGACAAAGAACGACTATAAATATGTAACATTATGCAGGCTTTTTTCTGCACCTGTTCATAAACCAGAAGGAATATACTGTTTAACTATTTAGAAGCTGAATGCTTTCAAACTGCCCCTGTATTTATATGACCACCTCCCCACACCAGATAAAATTAATCATTTTCTCCTTATTCTCTCCTCTGTGGTACTCATGATGTTGCATTACCTATGGCTCTTTGCCTTAACCCCTGTCCCAGTGCCTATTGCTGCTGCTCACTAGGCTGAGTTCTTGGAGGGCAGGGAGCCTGTCCCCTTTATCAAACAGTGTTTGGCATGTGTTTTATACCTTACACATGTTGAATCAAATTGAATTTCATCTAAATTTTATGTAGCTTCCTTCTGTTAAATTTTTATAAGTATCATTACAAAAATTATTTTTAAAAATGTACCATAAAATGTACTACATATTGAAATTTTGAATTCTGTAAAATAAGAAACTTCATGTTACACAATAAGACATTATAGGAATTTGAATCTAAAGAAATCTAACCCTTAAAATGAGGATTTTTTAAATGCAGAAACGACAGGCAGAAAAGTTAACCCCTGATATATTCAGTGTCAGATGAAATTAGAAAGTAGACTTTACATAGTAGAATAAAGTTGACATTAAAAGGATCTTTTCAAACGATGGGATTTTAAAGCTTAACAATTATTTTTTTAAATGCTGCTGTAAATCCTTGGGAAAAAAATTCTAAACTATAAAAAATAAGACAACTAGAAGTTAGAAATTACAAAGTTAACTTAGAATTGCATGCAGAAGCCAGGTTTGATTGGTACCCTCTCATGACCCATATCTTGAAAAACCTTTAGCAAGAAGGCTATTCACACACACTAGTGAAAAAACAATCTCAGAAATAAATCATAGAGTTTTTAAGACTCCACTAAATAGTAGACCAATTAAGATCGTTACAGACTTTGTGCTGTCAAATAGATTTCTTTGAAGGAAAATTATGCAGACAGCTTTTCTGAAGAACTACATTTTTGCCACATGCTTATTATTCTTTGAAGTGGAGGAGGTGGCAGAGAACTTAATTTCTGTTTCAAAGTTCTTTTGTTTTCTGCACCCTTTACCTAAATGTTACTGGGTACTATTTTTATATCCTATAAAGTACTTTGAGAAAATCGTTAAGTGAATAATGGTACAGAAAATAGTGGAGGATTTTAATATACGCCGGGTTGTAAAGCGAAGTGAATAATACTTGACTCTTAAAAGGGGGGGAGATAATACCCTGAAAAATGAAGAAGTATCTGATAAACCAACCAGCCTTGTAAAACACTCAGTTCAAAGAGAAACCGAATCTCTACTGTTTAATAAATGTTCACTAAAAGCAGTTTTTATACCACAGTAAATTTAAATGAAAATGTGGTATTATTAAGTTGCCTTTTAAATGATCATTTTAATATTGTTAAATAGATGTGAATTGAATGAGAACCTATTTATATTCATTTAATATCTTGCATATAAAATCAAATTGCTTAAAATAAATACCATTATAATAAAAATTTAATGAGAGACTTCTAAGTCATCTGATTCCTAATTATTTCTATAACAACAAAGGAATATGGATCACCTGAGAATTCACTGTAGTAGGATTTAACCATTAGAAAGATATAATCATATCGAAACACTAATTTCTGGATTCCTTTTTCAAACTGGAATCCTACTTATTTAATTCACCAGATAGTTTCAATAGAAAAGGTTGAGAAGAAACCACCTAAGAATGAATGCAAATAGAGTATACATCTCATCACAAAAACAATAAATTATAATACATTCTAACCAAAAATATATATCGAACCATAGTGAGGGGGAAAAAGAAACCTAGGACTAGATAAACTGCTTTAACAAATAAAAAGTCATTACACATATTTACCTAGTATCTGTTTTTAAAACTTCGAAATAAATATGCCTAAACCTTTGAAAATATTTTTTAATAACTGTTAAGTGCTATAATTTTTTCTGATTCATAAGAGATTACTAAAAACTGACAGGGCATGTATATTGGCTTGAGCTATCCCTGCAGTAAATGAAGGCAGGATTTTTCAGAACACTGTAAAATGCATAAATTTTAATCAGGTTTTTTAAATTATTCACTTTTAAATATGTTTGCTGGTTGCTATCCAGGTCCATTAGCACCACATATAGTGAATTAAAAAGAGTACTTTTAGAAAAGATGACTTAGCAGTATTTTTGTTTGTTTAAAAGTTATAAACTAAAAGAAATTGATTTCTTGGGTCATGTATTTTGAAAGATCCACTTTTCATCTTGCTAAATTGAAGGATTTTAGTGGGTTTCCCTCTCCCCAAGGTTCTAAGCATGAAAGTAGGAAAATCTGGGAGAATACTTTTGCACTTCAGCAAAGAATCTTGCTAATAATATCTTTATTTAGTTCAGTTCCAAAGTCAGATTAGGTTCTTCTGCCAGCAGTGTCAATATGTATTTAAACAAAGAAGATTCTACAGGACAAATTAGCACATACTTTTTATCTGCAATCCATAAATAATTCAAGAAGCCACCAGATCATTTAAAAACATCTAATGTACATTCTTTTCTCTAAGAATGTACAAATTACTCTTTAACAAATACCTTACAACTCAAGTGAAAGCTCTTCATTACTTCATCTACTTTCAGAGTAATGCTGTCACTCAGTTTGACACTGGGGAACTATACAATATGAGCCCTAACCTGTGAGGTAGGGGAGTGTGTTATATAGTATTATGGCCACAAGAAAAGATTGAAATAGAATCACTTTTTCAAAAAATACAGCAATCATTGATGAGGTTGATTACTTAAATAACTGGATAAAATACAAATAAGCCCTTCTTGTTATATTAAGTTCATTTTTTGATAAGGGATAATTAGCTGGATTGAAAAAACTAATTTGAAAAAGTTAATTTTCAATGTAAAATGATTTATTATAGTGTCTCTCACACATAGGCACAATGAAAGAATACTGACATTTAAAATACAACTTTAAATGTTAGCAATAACTTTTCACTTTCTACTCAACCTTGTACTTGGCTCATTCTCGGTCAAGAATGAATAATATTTTCACTAAATTATTATGTGAACCCCTTAGGACTTCTACTGCCAGGTTGGCTTTGAATCCACTCTTCTCACTTGGAGAAGAGTTGATGAATATGGTCTCTAAAGAAGTAATCCTGCAAGACAAGCCCATGTTATCTGTGATAACTTGTTACTTGGGAAGTTTGCCTTCTCCTGGATGGAAAATATTCCACCTTTTTGTTTCTGTTGCTTTTTAAAAATCTTTTCAGCAGATGATCACGTGAAGAAATAGATTTATACAGGTTTTTGGGAGGCAAAAGAAAGATGAAGAGGGAAAATGTACTCCGTTTCCACAGCTTTGCACTTGATTGTTTGCCTGTTTGAAGTAATTTGACAATGGCTTTTGTAAGGGACTTGAGCAAGACTAGAAAACACCCATATTTAATTCAAACATGCATTTTCTGCTGAAATTGGGGAAATGCAATATATTTCTTTCTTTCTGAGGTAAGACTACTTGCCTAGGAGTGTAACAACTATAAATCACATTCACACAAAAAAGCTCACCTTATGCACCATTTTAAACAGCATAAATGTGCACTGTAACAAAAAATTTTTTTTTGAAAACCAAATGCAATGATAACCTATACACCACGTTGAACTATCAAAAGGAAACTAGACTTTCTGACAGAGGATATTAAAGAGATCATGGCATACTGTAAGTGCTCAAAAAATACATCTTCCTTCTCCCAGGCACCCCAATCTTCACATGCCATTTTAGCAACTCCTTGTATGTCACTTTGCATTGCAATCTGTACTGACTTTTTCCAATCCAGAAGTGACTGCATTTTAGTGGTAGGAATGGTTTTATAAACTTGATTCTTTAGCACATCTGGGCTGGAATTGTACCTTTAAATTCCACAGATGAAAATCTCTCATTTGTTACTGAATAAGAAATGTCACAAGTATGTAAGATAGTTCATTTTTAAACATTTGTTTCTCTTTCCTATGATCTGGAAATTAAGTCACTGTAGAAGATTGTTTATTTTATTATCATCAGAGGCCATTTCATTAACTAACTGTTCTATAGACAACTGGATAGCATTCTTGACAAGAGAAGAAGCTGTTTCTATTAAAAGTGTTTCATATTGTTCTGAAGTTCTACCCTCAAAACCACTATCATTAGCAAAAACCCCGACTTGCTCATTTTCAATTGAAATTAAGAATTGCTTCGGGACATTTTTAGATTTCTTAACATCAAATTCACTGATTTCAGTGTCTGTAATAATAATAGCAATTGGCTCCATTCTTTTGCTTTCTTCTGGTATGGGTTTCTCTGCACTGATCTCAATTTCTTTAAAATCTGATTCCTGACTCAATTCAGTATTTTTTGGCTTACTCTCCTCATCTACAGTCTCTCCACTTTCATAGTCTTTCCAATTTGGTTCACTTTCTAGGATACTGTTTCTGGCTTCTTCCACAATTTGTTGATCTGAGATTGCAGGTGAAGGAGGAGCATCAGAAACCACTGGTAGTTGATGTTCTGTTTCTGAAGTTTCAAGTGGGCTTGCTTGCTGGGGTTGGACACTTTGTTTTTCCTCAATGTTTTCAATACCTTTTTCAAGGATTAGAGTTCCTGTTTGAATAGCAGAATGCTCTGGATCTAACCCAAGTTCTACTGAAATCACTTTCTCTCCAGGAGAAGTTATACTGTTGCTCACATTTGATTCACAGACCTCATCACCCTCTTTCTGTGAGACACCTCCACTTACATCCTGGGTGGACTTGGTCTTTGTTGCCTGGTCGTCTGATTGGGTCATCGTTTTTGTATCCAACCTTTCAGCCTCTCCCTGAACTTTGACGCTGCAGTCTGCATCTTCTATAATTTTGGAATGATTACGTCTTTTCTCTCCCTTTGAGAATTTTATGCAGGGAATCTTAAGTCTGGATTTTGCCTTTTTCTTAGAAAGATCAGCATCCTCAGTATTGATTTCAGTTTGTACTTTAGCCTCAAAGGGCTTTTGCTGCTTTGAAGAATCTGACCTTTTTCTGCGAGTTACAAGTCGTTTGAGGGAGGCCCAGGCCCGCCCTGGGGGTTGTGGCTGATCAGAAGCTCTTGCTTCTGGTGGGCATGTCCTTGTCACATTAGCAGCTTCAGAGCCAGCTTTGGGCTTCGTTGCTTTGGCTGATTTCTTTCTTCTCTTGAAGCAAAGCATTGATGCTTTTTCCTCCTGCCTCTCATTCTGAGGACTGACTTCTGCTGATCTCTTCTCATCTTTGCTTTCTACTTGAATTTCAGAAACTGTGGTCTCCATTTTTACATTACTCTCTTTCTTTCTCTGGTAAATGATATTCTTGCTTCTTTGGTAGCCGTTTATGACAAAAAGATGGGCAAAAATATCATACTAAGGAAAATATCTTCCAGATATATTCACTCCTTTCATCTTACTCCATACAGTTGTTTGAGGTGGTTTCTCCAGCATACAAATGCCTGGTTTCTCTACTACTTGTAATTTCTCTCTTTAATTTCTTCATGAAAGCCCTTTACTTGGTAGATCTTTGTTTTATTTAAAGATCAGCCTGATGAGAGAAAAGAAAGTGGTATTTTATTTCACCATCAGCCTGTTGATTTCTATAGAGACTATTTCAGCTGAATGTATATGATTCTATCAGGCATATTTCCTATATAATAACTTACTGAGAATAACTGGAGAATAAAAATTGGGGTTAACTTTTGCCCCATCAAAAAGATTTCAGTGTGAATATATTTCGCTCTGTTCTCTTTGTTAAAAGTTCATTTTGGATTATTCTGCAAATTCGATATTATTTTATCAATTCTTTAGTTGTGATGTCTTTATGAACTATTTACAACTCTGAATTATAAGTTAACAAAAAACAACAAAAACAGTGGAGAGTAGAGCAATAAGCAAGCTAATGTAATTTTTATTACTTGCAATAAAGAATTCTGAAGCCACAAAGGATCTTAGAGGTTATTTGAGAGTAATCAAGTCCGGTCAGATGAAGAAATTGAGTACCAGAATGAGCAGTTGCCCGGCCGAATGCCATGTAGTCAATAAGGTCATAGCCAGAGTTAGAACTGAAGACTTTTGACTCTCCAATGTTCTTCCCATTATACCATAAGGTTTCTGTTCTAAAAATGTATGTTCCATCAAGGAGGTGCTACTTTTCATATATGCTCTGGGGAAATTTAACATTCTTGTCATTCTCCACTTTTAGATTTAGTTGTATGTTGACATTTTTCCCCTAAGTATTTGCTGTTCAAACATTTTACATAATGAGCACATAGTCGAAGGTCAGTAAGAGTGAATAATAATAATAGCTGACATTTGTTGAGCAACTTCTGTATACAAAGAAGTGCTAAGCACTTGTACATACATCTCTAATCCTCCCCCACAGCACTGCAAAGTGAGTAGGTGGTGGTATCACCATCTAGAGATGAAGAAACAGGCTTAGAGAGATTAAGCAACTTGCCTGAGATTACACAGCTAAGTAGGTAATGGAGCTACCTAAAAAGAGATTCAACCCAAGGTTGTCTCTTTTTATTCTGAAGACCATGCTCTGCAATTGGGCTTTTAGAGTTTCGTGAGAAAAATGAATTGTTTGGAGATGCTAATCTACACTAGATTCACTAGTCAAAAATATTTTTTTAATGTTTAAGGGTTATTTAACCATAATGTACTCCCATCAACTCATTATTGAATGAAGATTAGGCTGAGTTCTTGCTATTTTAAAATCAAGCTTTTGAAATTCCTTAAATTTTATTTTCTTGGTTTTAGAACTAATTTGAAAGCCAAATACAGGTGATAAGCTGTACAACTTGGAAACTGATAATATATAAACATAAAGGTATATTTAAAAATTAATCCACAGACTTGTTTGACAGCACCAATGAAGAGATGAAGTGATCATCTAACAAAAAGCCTATGAATTTTAGCTGATGGAGGTCCTAAAATAAGCAAAGGGATTCATTCCTTGTGCTTTTTTCTTTTTTCTTTTTTTGTAAGTCTTTCACTGTTGAAGATTTATTTAGGTAGCTCTTGATTCTATGAACCACAGAAGGAACTGGAACTCTGAAAATCAGTTTATAATCTAAGTAAATATTCCCTTAGGTTGGCTGTTACATACTCCATGCCTCTGACAGAAAGATAAAGTCATCCTATAACAATGATGGAACTAAAATATGAACATTTTTTGTGTCCCTCCTCATATAATGCTTCCATAAGTAGTAGAACGACAGCTGATTATAGCTCTCTTTAAGTCTTCTCACCTCTTGTGAGTCCTCAGCTCCTGAGAACTTTTATTAGCTAGAGGATGTATAACAAATGTTGAAATTAGATCATGTTTAGGGATGTATCATTTGAAACTAATATGGAGTCCTCAAAGACAACTGCTTGAGCTCACTTGAACAATTATCACACCGTAGAAATAAAACAAATATCCAAAGAAAAAATTAACTGAAATGGGAAAAATGCAGTCTGTAGCCATTAAAACTTGGCGGAATGTTAGACTGCAAATGATTCGTCTTTAACCTGCAAGGGTAGTTTTACCGCCTCAGGAATCTTAAAGTCCCTGTTGTCATTTACTAATAGAATCGCAAGTCTAATGCCCTAAAAAAAATATCCCTTCCATTTTCCCTTGAGCAAAGACGCGAGGAGGCAAAGAGCAACCACTCCGAGAAAAGCAGTGTTTTTTTTTTTCCCAGCACCAGAAGATGTGGACCACGAAGCTTCCTTTTGGAGGAAGGCGTCTTTCGTTCTGGCTTGATGCGCCTTATGGCATGAGCTAGAGCGCAGGATAAACTACTCAAAAAGGAAAGTGCCGGGGGCGTGCAACAGATAACCCAGCTTCAAGCTATCTGCACAATTATAATGCCAGGAACCCAAAGTCACATTTCCCGCGAATAAAGGGCAAAGAAGGAAAAAAAAGCTATCGGCAATCCATGCATCTAGGACTAGCTGTGAAGCTAAGAGGGTAGATGAGCAGAGTTGATGAGGATCACACTGGCTGAAGATTCCTATGGACAAATGACCTTCCTGGTTCTTCCTGGCCATCTCCAGGGGACGCGATTCTAGGGGTCCATCGAGCACCTCCCACTCACCCGCTGCGCAGGCGGTCAGCGGACCGGACACTGGCCTGTACCCTCTTTCCCCGCAACCTCCTCACCCTCCTTCACTTACCGAGGGCACTGGGGTCCCTGCTGCCCAGGTTGGGGGGCGGTCGCGGGGCCCGGCACCCAGGCAACCCAGAAGCCACGGTCGCACCCGGAGCGAGCAGTCCTCTGCAGAGGGACCGCAGCCGGGCGGCGCCCCCTCCCCAAAGCGCGAGGACTGACAGCCCGCGGCACCAATGCGCGCCGAGCGGGTGGGCGCGGGGCGGGGTCAGGGCTGGGGGTGGGGATCAGCAGGTCCACCTGCGAGCAGTCTGCTCCCTCCGCCCCCACCCCACCCCACCGCCACACACACTCTTGGGAGGAGACCTTCGTGCTCCCACCCCGGGCGCGAACTTACGCTACGCGACCACATCCGGACAAGGGCAAGGGAACCACCAAGAGAGCGGGAAGATGGGGCGGGGGCCCACGCAGTGAGCTCCGCATTTTCTGAGACGCGAAGTAGCAAAATCCGGTTTTAAATTACAGGCACTCACATTATAACCGCCCCCTCCCCAACACGCACACTTAATACTTAAAGATACAGCAGATAGCACATTTTTAAAGTAGGATTCAAAACTATGCAGCGTGAGATCTCATTTATTTGAATTGAAACAGGAAAAGAAAACTTTCCCAGGAGTGGGTGTGGATGTAATGAGGTTATCACGGTTCATTGCCAAACAGGCTGTCGGAGGTCCAAGCCCCTGACCCTCCCGTCCCTAGTTTAGGGGGCAGGTAGAGACGATGCAATCTCTGTGTGGACAAGGTCACAAGGGCACAGAAACCCATCCCCATTCGTCCTTTATACCTTACATATTTCCAATAATAAGTTTAGATCGCTTACACGTTATCTGTATTTCCCTTCAGGATATTGCTAGATGCCCACTTAACCTTGTCCATCTCAATTAAAGGGTGGGTGGGGTGAGTGTGGACAACAGGAAGTGGCTTTCCTTACAATTTCAGTCCTAATCAGAGCAAAGGGCTCAGGCAACATCTACCTCCTGCCCGACTGGCTAGGTGGTGTATTTCCATACATTTTCTGAGTCGACAAGTTGCTAGCCATAGTGAAAAGCACCACAAGCATTTATTTATACACATAACACATTGTTTTCATTAACACCAATGAAAAGTGTTGCTATGAGAGCTTACGGTGCCTCGCTTTGAATTTAATACTACCTACAAGGGCAATCCTGCAAGCTCCAGATGTGAGGTCCTGCAGGATGCACAGTTCCTGCTTCCTCCTCTCTCCCCTCCCAGGCACACCATCCAACCAGTCGTGGCCAGGGAAGAACTGCTGAGCAGCAGTTCTACTTAGCTCCTTTCTTCAATAGGATCATGATCTTTGGGAGAGTAAATCTCAGTTAGCCATTTTTGGATGTAGTTCCAGGAATATGTATTACCTTTGTAAGATCCTATAGCTTTCACTGAGACTTATTAAGGAAAAAACTATTAGGATACAATAGCAAAGTTGACTCTAGATCTTAAATTTACAGATAAAAGAGACAAGAGCTATAAAACAGGAAAGTCCACAAGCATTTACTTTAGTTGTAATTAATAATTCAATTAAAAAATAATTCAATTTGTCTTTGTTCATTCAGCAAAGACTGTTCTGTGAAAATGTCCTTTATATCCCCAGATGGGTTGCTAACCCTGCTGGTTGCTAGTTTTGAACCTTAAGCCAAAAGAAATCCATACTACTCATAACCAGTTGAGGTGCTATTACTCACTGAGATCCAAGTTTTCTCAACTAGCAGATCTAGGAGTTAGCAACAACTTCAGGCAAAAATAAGATGAGCTTATCTAGATTAAGACCGGGTAGCATAGCTGTCTTCTTAGGAAGTAGTAGGCAATGAAACAAGGGACAGGTTAAAATGAAGGCCACCTTAATGACTTGTGGATCTTATTCCCCTTGCTTTTCTTAAAAAAAAAAAAGAAAGAAAGAAAGAAAGAAAAAGACTAGTGAAAGGGAATTGAAGGGTGGTTTGAGGTAAGAAGTGAATTGATTTTGTATTTGAAGGGGAAATTCCTTTAAGGTATATTACAAATAACTCATCCCCGACCTCTACCACACACACACCCACAGAGTATATATAGTACTGTAAATAAAATACTGCACTGTGGTTTTTAGGATATGACTAGAATCCAATGCGACATCTGAGTTTCAAAAAAATGTACCCAGTACCTCATGCATGAAAGAAGCTGTCATCCCTGAACTCACTTGAGTGACGGTAAGCTATTACCCTTATCATTGTCTGCTCTTCCATTAGTAGCTTTTCATTATATAATGAGAAACAGGCTATAAATATCTCTCCTTTCTGATGAGAAATTATCCTACCTACAGCTTGTTAACATCACCAGATACAACGTGCCAATAAAATAGCTTACATATTTATCTGATCTCTATGGAGCATACCATTTTCCCCATCCTAGCCCCTATCCACCCACAGCCTGGGCCTGTAGCTACCGAAAATGGTTTATAACTCTTTGGTATACTCATTCTTACATTTGAGATCTTCTGGGAATGAGCGTGCCACCCCTTCTTCCCTGGTACACCATTAAGTGAACCTGTGGCTCCAGTTGTCTGGTAGTTGGATCTGTTCCTAGGCACCATCAGGGTTGTACCAGCCAACACAAACACGGCAGTAATTCTGTTGTAATCGGCTTCACCTGACAGCGCATAAATGCTGTCTTTTTTGAATTGTGTGTACATACATCTTCAGTGCACATCAACAGCCTCTGAAGTGCAGATCAGAGAGGGTGTAATCTGTTATCAGTACTATGACAAACATGGGAAGGCACTGGCATCCCAGAGAAGGGTAGGAATGGGGACAGGAAGGCCAGTGACCTAGGACTACTAGCCCCAAGGTAAAGGCACTAGATCTTCTCTACTCATTAGTACCTCAAGACTAATGCTCCTGTAGGTCTTGAATTCAGGTCTCCAATTAGCCTGCAGTTATTTTTCTGTTCTTTATGCCTTCATCACCTCTTCATCACAGATTAAAGCATCAATTTGACAAAACCCAGACCACTAGTAATTACTCAGCAGCATTCTTAACTTCTTTATTTCTTCCCTCTGTTTCTTCCACCTTTTATTACCCTATCCTTCTGAAGGGATGTGAAATGGGCACAGCTTTCCACCTGTCATAATGGGATGTCCATTTCTATACAACCTGGCAGGGGCTGCCTTCTAGAAAGAGCTCTGAAAGGCAGAACGATGGTAAAGAATAGAAGCTTTGGAGTCAGCTGACCTTAAGTTCATCTGGCAGGAAGTAGCAGTGCAATTTTGAAGTTTACTTTTCTGTAAAATGGAGATATAAATCTAATTTACAGACTTGTTCTAACCTATCTTCACATTTCCAACCAAAGGTCAGCACCCATTTTGAAGATAGAAATCACTCTTTGAGTAATTCCATTGCTAGGGGTTTATCCTATAGATGCTTCTACACAAGTTGCAAAGATACATGTTATGGGAGTATCACTGCTACACCATTTGTAATAGCAAAAACCATCGAACGATGGTAAGTATACATCGATAGAGGGCTGTTTAAATACTACACAGCCAAAAGAAATCTCAAACTGCTGATGTAGTAAAAGTTCTAAGATATACTGCCAAGTGGAAAAAGTGAGTTGTATCATTTGAACTTGTACTGAAAGCATACTGTACTTCTACTTAGGAAATTCTTGCAGTAATGGTCCATTCATTCCAAGCAATACCTGGTAAAAAAAAAACTGCGTTATTTATAATATTAGTGCTTTGTTCATAATCTTTGACTTACAAACCTCCTCCCCCACTGAGTTTATTATTCCTATCAACATTAAGGATTTAAACCCACATGGCTTTTAGTGATATGAGGAAGCCTAAATACTTTAAGATGGTCTTTAAGTCACCATATTTGACAATAGACTTCTTTCTTTTCTTCACAAACTGAATTCCCAGCAAGTCCCATTCCAGATGAGGTTTTATAGGACATTAAAAACAACAACAACAACACAACAGAAACAGTGAACTCTGTGCAGACAGGGCCCAAATAATGCTTTGGAACAGGAACTGACACCGCCACTGAGTGTACAATGTGCCAGGCAATGTATAAAATATGGAAGAGCTGGGGCTATGCACTCATGACTCCTTTGCCATATGCCCCTAAATCACTGCCATCATTTCTTTGATCTGCAAAACTGATTGTATTACAACAATGACGTTGTTGTTAAATGACGCTGGGGTTAAAAATAATAAAACAAAGGACCCCAGGAAAAATACTGCTCTGCCACAATGCCAGTGGTGATGCAACATCTTCTGGAAGGATCCAATGCAAGAAGACAGGGGGAAAAGGGAGGGGAAAATGGGAGAGGAAGTACAGAAGACAAAAAAGAAGGAAAACATTTAAGCAAAAAAAAAAAAATCTGTAGGGAGCAATAGAGCCCAGGCACATGGTAAAAGCTCGATAAATACTTGCTGAACCAACAGCTACAGTTAGTGCTATATGACTAGCCTTCCTTGAGGACTCTAGAAATAAATGGTGCTAAAGCTGTGACAGAAATGGAAATTCTAAGTGCAGGACAAAAACCTGTATGAACATTTTCCCAGGGTACAAA